CACGTGATCTCATGTTCCCATGGGATCTCATTACAATCAAGGAGTTAAGGTTTCCATCGGTACGACAAAGCATTCGATCTCCTTCTTGCACCAAACACAGGGCTTGTCTGCGTGTGTGTCAGCAGTTCCTGTGTTTTCCATCTCAGATTTTGTTTTACCTAAGATCCCTCGAACAAGGAAATAATCACACCTACAATAACCAGCCTACACACATTGATGCCTTTGCACGAAGCCTCTTAAACACAGCCCAGACAGAATGGAAATGTTTATCCAGACGATGGGCCCTAGTAAAGGTCTCCCCTTCTACAAAAAAAGACCTATAACACAGCCAGACAACACAATACACATTGTTTCCAACAAGAGCTTCCAAACGCTGTTAACCCAACTGTGCCTGGGCAAGGAGAGAATTCAGTTATGCTCTGTTCAATATTTTTAGAACTTAGGTCCGAGTTGAACACAGAAAGATTGTGATTCAAAATCCAGATAAAAAAATATTCCAGTATAAAATGATATTTTGGAAATTAGACATTATAATAGAGAAATCTAAGAAATATTTAAAGGTTAATTATCCCTACAGGTTTTACATCCAACCTAACACCAGATCACTCATTAAAATATTCATTTAACAAAGAGAATAAGAAGAATTAGCCGCTATTGTGTTTAGTGACACACGTTTGACCCGCACACTGCAGCATTGAGGCATGGCTCAATGTTCTGCCTTGCTGATCTGCCACATATAAAATGTAATGCCACCACACACACACACACACACACACACACACACACACACACACACACACACACACACACACACACACACACACACACACACACCACACACACACACACACACACACACACACACACACACACACACACACACACACACACACACACACACACACACACACACACACACACACACACACACACACACACACACTGTAGAGACCAACAACACTTTAAACAAAAGGGGTCTTGTGTTTCAGGAGCTCTTATGAAAAAGCCTGCTGCCCACTAAAGTTACCGCTGTGTGTGACACTAAAAGCTGTGCTGAGCGCTGTTTTGGGAGCAGTGTTCCAGGTCCCAGACAGTTTAAGAGGCAATGAAACACTTGACTAGCACATCTCCCTTCCCCACCGACGCCCTCGGAGCAGCTCCCTCTGGAAACCAGGAAGTCAAGGTGCTTTAACTTACGGCATCATAACTGACGTGTCATTAAAAGCAGAGGATCTCAACATGGTAGCAGAAGAGAGAGAGAGAGGAGAGAGAGAGAGATAGAGAGCTATATATACACATAGAAAGAGAGAAGAAAAGTGTATGACAGAAGGACAATATGAAATATGGGCATGATTTATTTGATACAGTAATACTTTTGGACCTTTCGCAGCATTACTCTCATTTCTTTGGAAGCTATAAATTCACATTTATAACTTATAGCATGTAAGCCTAGGTACATAATGCAACATTTGATGAGATATGGCCTTTTGGATAAGAAGGTTATTTATATAATGTATGAAAATATATTGAAGACTGCTTTAAAAACGGAAGCTTCACTTCCAATTTGATTCTAATGAGTCTTAGAGATGGCTGGTGTTTTGTAAACAACAGTGTGCAGACAGAAAAGGCATGGCCTTAAGGCAGTGCAAACAGAGAAAGTGTTGTTAAAAACATCGCTTATTATGGGGATAAATGTCAACGGGGAACATTTCAAAGCAGGGAATAATTGCTTCAAGTTGACTGTTATTGGTTTGCCTCTCTCTCTCTCTGCCGCTCCCATTTTACAGTTACCAATTAAAACACAGTTAGTGCCGTTTCTTAAAATACTACAAGTGGAACGTTGATCTAGGAAAAACCCCTTGTTATTTGTTCACTCTTCTTCTGATTTTTCTCATGATAATAAGTACCATAGGGATCTTTTTATTACCACAGCAAAAAGGTTTTAGCCTAATGCAGAAACATCTATGACCTTTTGGCACAATCTACTTTTTATTTTAGGGCCGTTGGAGCCCTTACTGTGCTGTCAACAGTGTTGTGTTACTGTGACAACCTTTGTTTTGATTTATTTTGTAGTTTCTAGAATGAATGTTGACCCAAAACAAAGGTTGCATCCGTTTTTAAAACCTGAGTTGGAGATTGAGGGTCAAAGACTTTCGGAGCAGCTAAAAAGTGTTTGAATAAATGGTAATAAATACATTTTGAAATAACACTTTACCCCTCGAGACCTCTGCCGTTTTGAAAAACAACATTCTTAACTACAAAAACATTCAGTATGAACCCTTTGCTCAGCTTTTCACTTCATCAGCTACAGATTTATGATGTCACCAACTGTTTTAAAAAGATGGTACACGAACATAGATGTTAAATCTTATTTCTGAAAGGAACAACATGCAATTTCTTACTTCAGAATTGAAAAATGAATATCCCTAATGAGCCCTCTATTACCTTTTTGGCCCCTGTGTGTTTGCCTTTCACCAGAGTGTAAGGCTTACAGGAGGACCAGATGGCATAGGCACCCCTGAAAAAAAGTGACCTCACACCCTTTCTCACTGATGGGGTGATAAAGGCATACAAGCTTTCCCCTGGGCCAAAAAATGCACGCCTCCAAGGAGCTGATTCCAGGTCTGGAAGCCCTCCGAGCCAGGTGTGAGGGGCCCGGAGAGGGGGCCAGGCCCAGAAAATACCCACATCACTGAGGAAGCACTAACGGGCCACAGACACCTCCAGGGCTTTGAGAGGACGGAATGAAAAAGTGAGGAAAAAGAAAAAAATGAGATGGTGTAGATTGCTGGGAGAGCTGCAGGAACTAGCATTCACAATGACGGCAATGTTCCAGAGAGCTAATGCTGGGAACCTGTTCTTGTAAAAATGCATGCAGACTGGTGCGCACATGTGACTGGCTCTTTTTCATCTACAAAAGAACCATAAGATTGATTTCTATTCATGGAAGAGAGGAAGATTGTTTAGTCGGGAGGTTTTTAATTCACACCAGACAGATGGGTTCAAGGCAGCATTCCTACTTCTTCTTCTTCTTTTCCCCTTTTACTGGCCTCAACTTGAAAGACGTTACAGTAAAAAACCCACATTAGAGGTGATCGATGCTCGATACCAGAGCAATCACGGTTGTTGGTTTGCCTCTCCATACATGTGTTAAGATTTCAGGCATCTAATGTACTCATCTCCTGGGGTCCTTATGACATAGCTCCTCTTGGAAGTGATCAACACTAAAGCAGCCAGACCTATACATTTCTGACCTGTGCGTCTGCGTTCCTGCACATGCTTGAGTTGTGTTCTCCAACACATGGCTCACAAGGGAGCGCAATCTGCTACTCTCCACATTTCCTCAGCTGGTCAGCAGGAATTAGGTCAGGAGTTGAAACAGGTTAAAAGGGCTTTTGGGAGAGTGGTAGTTTGGTTTAGTTCCTCATGGTGATAGAGATACATGAGGGGAAACTAAAGAAATGGGGCGATAAATTAGCACATTAAAGAATAAAGAGAGTCCCACAGAAACACAGATGTTTTATCTGGATTCTCTGTGAGGTAAAAGGGAAATAAAGGAAAGCACGATAAGAGGGAGAAATAGGATATGAGAAGTGGGCTCATCATTCACATGACAATGACTCCTACATGTGGTCAACTCTGAAGTTTAAAAAGCCTGTCGTTGTCGTCCTCTGCCATGTTTTGGCCATTTACCCCATGTGATTTATCTCTGTCAGGGACCAGGCCAAGTTCAGATGAAACATTACACATCAGAGGCTGAGTCCTGGCGGAGGTCATGTTCATGTTCATGTTCATATCTTGCTCCTGGGGCAACGTCGGTACTTTGTCACAGAAATCCGCCCTTAGCTCTTTGATATTTTTACAATAACAGCTCAACAAAGAGCAGGTTGGAAAAAAATACACAACATCTAATTGAATAAACATGAGGGGGGTGTCATCTGAAATATGCCCCCAAATTATAAGAGTCAAGTACATTGTGTCTCCTTTGAGTAGGTTTAATAAAGAAATAACAAAAAAGAGGTATGGGCTGTGCAATTGTAGTGTTAAATGGAACCTTTTGACACATAACAACACAGACTATAACACCACTTGTTGTTGAATACCAACTATGTGCAATATATATATATGCCGTTAATAACTTTGAAATATATACCTGGCTGCTATATCTTCAGAACTGTTACAGGATGTGTATTTTGTCAATTGTGTCATTCATTTTTTTTTTTATCGTTAATATTTTTTTATGCATGCTTCTTAGTTCACATTAAACTGTCTTTGGCTCTTTTCTGCTGTAACAAATGTAAATGTCCCCTCTGTGGGACGAGTAAAGGTATTCTGATTCTGATTCTGACATAAGTTGGATCCAAGCGTGTGCATTTGTTTCTATAATTTTTGTTTTGTAGCGTCATGACATTCTGGCTCAGGTTGACTAATATAAGTTCAACACATTTCTCATAATAAAATGAAAATGAAAGAAAGAAAGTAAGAAAAAGGAGGAGGAAATTTGTTTTATGACCTGCAATATCCTGCCAGAACTTTATTGGCCACTTAAGCATGTGTGACCTGCCCTCTCACAGCAGGCTGTTAAATGGTGGTGACCTTGCAGCGAGTGCTATGAATCCCTTGGACCCCTCATATCCCTGAACACGCTGCCCTGCCCCTTGCCACCTTTAACACACATGATCCCTGACCTCACCGACATGGGACAGATAAATTAACCAGCTGCTAAACTTGGCCTTACTTCCACATTATCTATGGCACACATTTGAGTTTGTTTATACGCCTTAGGTGTGTGAGTGTGAGAAGGTCATCAAGCGCAATCATTAATTTACATGGTGTGTGTGTAAACACATGTGGTTCTGGATAGGTTTATGGAAAGAGAAGTGTAACAGGTCTGATTGATAGCATCCTTCATTAGCATGTGTTGTAAATTGAAGTGTGAGAAAGGAAACAGTTCTTTGAGTTTATTGGTTTAAAGCTGTGCTGTTCTGCAGCGGACGTACCCCTGAGGATGTAATTCTGGTAGTTCTGGTCGGCTTCAGTGCCAACTTTGATCAAACACGTCAGTCCTTCTGCCACCACAAACTCATGCACCAGGTCCTTGTCATCCTGGAGAGAGGTCAAAGAGAAAAAGCGAGTATTGAAGAGTCGTCATACATCATACACAGAGCAATAAACTATACTGTTTTAATAGTTATTTCCTTTAAACAATTACATAGGATGTATTTAGTTCCGCCTCCTTCTCCAACTACACAACTGTCTTCAGAGTTAGGTAGATTTTAAAATGCTTGAACACTCGGTGGTGTTGTTAAAGAGTTTACACGACTTTTTACCAATACATGAAAGTGATAAAGAAATGAATCAACCCCTGAAACAATTACTGGACTATACGACTGAACAAATGATATGTATCTTATATAGACAACATGAAGACATTATGTTGCTTCAAGCATTGCTTTAAAACAAAAAAACACACACAATTAGTTGATAAAACAGGAAGTCAAGCTGAATTAACAGATCATAATATGTTTGTTTACATTCGGTTGTAGCTAGTGCAAACTGTGTGCAAAGTCCTGTTGCTAAGCCCAATGTCTCCTAGATGACAACACTATATGCATCTCTCACACCTGTCAATCACTCTTTAACCAAAGACAGTGTTTTTAAAACTTATATTGCACATGTGCACTGCACTACTGTAACATAGGGAAGTAAGACTGATATCAGGCCCGGTGGATATTTTAGTCCTCAACTAGAATAATTGGTATTCTCCACACTGGAAACTCCACAAAGCCACTCAGAGTGTAAGAAAGTAAGATATTCTAATCTATTCTGGGACTGCATCATCTTCTGTAGCTCTCTTTTCCATCTTACTGTTGGTTTACCCTCCCCCTCTATGGCCCACTGCCCGCCAGGCCAGCCCGATCCAGTGTGTGAAGTATGACCAGACCCGAACACTGCACAGCTGCCACGAAGGCAGACTCTCAGCACAACTCTGCCTCAAAAAAACAATGATACGTCCAATTGTGAGTGTGCACTGTTGCATGTGTGCACGCTCCGTATAAGACCTGCATGTTACAGTCTGAACGTGCATAGGAACATTAAAAGCCACTAAGCCAAGCAGAATATACTTCCCACGCTGAGAAATACTGAGTTTTTGGAGAATACCTATGATATCATGAAAAACGTGAAATTCACTGGATGTAGTGAACTAGAGATTTAAAAAATGTCATTTTTTAAGGAAGCAATTACCTGAAAAATCTGCTTGAGGGAAAATAGTGCTCTCCGTAGCTCCCGTCCAGTTGAGTTGTAGAGTTTTTCTATGAAAGAGATAAGGAAAAGAGAGGGGAAATCAGCTTACACACATGTGGTATATTTCCATGATGGGTTCATACATAAAGTCAATAAAACAAAAGCACAAGAGACTCGGAATCATTGTGATGTTCCCCATTACTAGGACTTTAGTGTACCACTTGAATCACACATGATGTATCCACCATGATCTACAATTCTTTCCTTCAAAATCAATTCCTTGTGTCAGCGTCATGCACACATCATTGGCAGCAATTTTCCTGAGTAGCTAAATGTGAAAAATGTCCGGCAAGAGGAAAAGTGAGAGCAAAAGAACAGTAGGAGTAACATCTGTGGAGAGTTAGTGAACAGTGGATGTTTCCTGCTGACAAAGCCATATCTGCAGATTACCATAATACAAAGTCAAGGCAGAAACTTTAGCCAATAGCCACCACAATGACTCAGAAACAATGCACCCATTAATCAGTTTATGGAAACACCAAAGAGCACTCAAGGATAGATATGATGGATGACAGATGCTTGTGATGGAGGCGGACATCTCCTGCAACTACTTTGACAATCCTTCACCCTGTGTGCAGTGTGCACAGTCTGCCAGGAAGTGGCAGCGTTGAGCACATCACTGCTGTGTGAACTCTCTCTGACTCAGCAAAACCGGCTACTTACTGCAGCATATACAGCAGCATAAGGACAGCACAGTACATCCCTACCCAGTGCAGCTCTCTCTCACGTGGCTTCTCTATCAAGATGTATTTTCATTCACCCATTTCTTGTATTGGGATGCAAGATGACCTTGTTGTCTGCTTTGACAGATACTTTCTTGCCTGAAGGCAGTCTGATATGTCTTAGTCAGCAGAGGACAGGAGACTGGCATGTACACAAACAGGCATCAACACAGCGAGGCACTTTCTTTCTCTCTTTCTCACTACATGAAGCACTTTCCCAATGTCAATCTTGTCTGGTTGTTGCACCACTGCAGATTTTGCAGTCCTGACCGGATGGGCAGGATTTATCGCTGTTGGTGTATGAGTGTGTTGAACTCGAATACCCACGCAATGAGAGAAGCAAATAGGCTGACACAGCATATGTACCCATCATACAAAAACACACACCAGTGGCGAACCATCAGGGCCTTCAAGGTATTCAGAGAATACTCTGGAACATCCAGATAAAACAAACAAAAAATCGATTTAATTATATAATAAAATGTAATAAAATGTATATAAAATGAATAAATGAGAATCGTATCTGTGTTGTTGATCTGTAATATTACAGTGTTACGTTGATTTGTTTGTCCTTCTCGGACCATGCACTACGCATTTCAGTGGTGTTGTGTTAGAAAAGAAAGCAACCAATCAGATCTTGTTCTGGGTCTCTGGGTAGAATATCCTTCACCAAGGTATTCTACATCCTTGATAGAATTGGCCGTTGCACTGAATGTACGTTTGGACTGACAGTTTGATCAACCAATCAGATATTGATTTGTAGCCAAAAGGCGTGTTCTTTCAGAGTTCCCTCGGTTCCAGGGTATTCTAGAAGTAGAGGATCTTTCTAGATGAATGTGACGAAGCAATTCATTTGCCGTTTTATTGTTTTTAACGTTGAAATGACAAGTGCAACAGGTGAAGATGAAGTTGTTGCGGAATTGTTGTGAGTACCCTTTTCAAGACGACAATTCAGTGAAAAGACGGACATTATAACGCCGGGGGGGGAGGCGGCTGCGGGAGGTGTGTGTGTGTCTACAGAAGGTCCAGTTGTGATAGAAACGGTTCGCCACTGACACACACACACACGCGCACACACACACACACCAACACACACACACACACACACACACACACACACACACACACACACACACACACACACACACACACACACACACACACACACACATACACACAAATAACTTGAGTTTCTTGTCTTTACAAACAGCTGCCACTAATTATATTCAAAAGTGTGGGAAACACACCGACCAGTACACTTGTGATTAAAAGTGTTATTGTGTCTTCAGCTGATGAGAGTGACATAAACAAGACATAAACAATGTGTGTGTTGCCAGTTCTAGGGACAAAACACAGGCTATTTGTGTGCTCATGTGGTCTGATATATTTGGGTGCCTTTCCTGTGACACAGCATCTTCAAAGCACATATAAAACATCACATGAGTGTTATGGAGGCCCAATTAGAAAACTAACATGCACCAAGAGAAAATCCTATTCTCTGAAAGAATTAATTCTCAAAAAAGTCATATCATGATGCTGGTTAATACAAAAAAGCTAAATAAATAACAAGATATTCCTCAATCTATTTAAATTAATACTATGAGTCAAAGTGTGGTAGATGTTTCTGTATTTCATTCATACATTGCAATTTGCTGCCAGGGTACGATTGTCCACAGTAATTAATCTCAATACACTTACCATAAACATTGATATTGGTATTACGCAGTCGACTTTAAAAGATTAAAAATGCATCTGAAATGCAGAGGAGCTGGGACCAGGACATATGTGGTTAAAATGCTCCCATTTGACGAGGTTGCAAAGTGCAAATAAACACCTCAGAGTCCAATTCCAACAGAGTTCTTTATCTTCAAAAGATGTCTTGTTTTTAATTTATGACTATAATGGTATTTAGTAAGAGTGCGTCCAAGCTTCAAATGTATTTTGCTCTCAGTGCCGTACATAGCTCAGATGCATGGTGAGGTGATGAGTATTGGTCTTCTACGGAAGAGTCCCAGCCAGTCACTGGCAACATCCACAAGGAATAAATCTCTAGAGGTCCAGAGGTATTACGAGGGGAAGCTGTGTGATGCTGGTGATTTGTGTCTTTAGAAATAACAGGAAAGAACTGTGACTTTTCAGCTCGCGCCCCCCGGCTGTGGAACTCCCAGTGTAAGCATGTCAGGGTGGCCAAGTCGTTATATATTATTTAATCTCCTCTTAAAACGGACACAAAAATGTGTAGTTGCATGTCTTTTATTTTGTTCACCCCTATTTTAAATGTCGGATACTATTTCTTAATCACCACCATTGTAGTAAAACACTCTATTGATGAAATAAAGAAAAAAAGACTGTAAAACGTATGCTTCCAGTGCTCTTATGCCGAATAAATATATACTGTATGTATTTTAAACTGAATGTATATACTGTATCTAGACCTCACAAGTGATTTTCATTCTTCATCATGTAAAAAGCAGTGCAAGCTTTTCAACAACTTCACCCTCCAGTGCAGGTCAAGGTAGGGCCACATCCATTTCCCTGCACTTTGGGGAAATGACTCCGTGTTTAGATTAGGGATCTCTGAAGAGACAGGCTCTGTGATCTCTGGAGCGGAAAGTCAGAGGAAGATACCCTGGGTTACTCATCACGCCTTCACCATACAAAGCAAACATGATTTGTGGTCCTACTTCAAACCAAAAGCTTGAATCAGCGTGCTCCTTTTCTTCTCAAAGTGCTAACGGCACTTCCTCACGGACATTGAATGTTAATCAGTCAACGGATAGATTACACAGAGCACTGCTGAGCAACCAGTGATCCCAGCACAGCACTACAGCAGTGATGCATCAGCATCTAGGCTACCACTGGGTTTGAATAGATCCCAGGAGCATGTTTTGTGTGCGAGAGTGTGCGTATGTGTCAATCAATCAACAACAGCATGGTGGAGAAATTATTCCATGCAGAGTTCCACTGACATTCCCCTCAATAAAACTGTCAGAAAGTTATTCCTGCCCAACACTAAATGAAGCCCATCTGCAAGAACAGACCATTTCTTCCCTGTCTCTGTGCGCAGTCCACACTGATGCACCTCCCAGAGGCCCGTCGCTAATGAGAAATAGCTCAGAGGAGATTAGTTCCATACCATTTGGCAGAGATATGCACCCAAAAGTATGGGCGCTCTGCATTTCCATCCTCAGGAAAAGAGCCTAAGACCACATTTATTTAGAGGAAATGTTTGTGGACCTCTCCTGTGGAACCTTGAAACTTCAAACTCAATAGCTCACTTCTTTTATCATGGATGTGTTATTGATTCAGGGTTAGATATACGTTTTGCACACACATTCTGGGCACTTGTACAGTAGCTCTCAAAAGCCTGACCTTAAGATTGATATAATACACCCTTTAAACTAAAGTTCAGACATCTAAACATGTTGCCAATTGTTCTTCATACCACAACACAAGAGTGTAACTGAGGACATAAAGCCTGTTTTTTTCCTCTCATCTTTACATTCCCCTCTGGCTTCTACTGACCTTGACAATGAAATGTTTTAACACAGTGAGAGTGTTATTTTTGATTTCTTATATGGATGTACCAGCGGTTTTCTTCTCTTAAATTGCAATACACAATCATGTTTTCTCAGCTGGGATAGCTACAGGGATGTAATGGTCTCATAATTATAACAATCATAAAGGTAGAAGCGGAATTTCTATAATCATCAGGAATGTGCTCAACTACTCTGAGTAGAGGAGCGAAGGTAAAACCTGCTTTGGGGCCTGGGCCAGGACTGGATGGTTGTGCCACTGCTGAGAAGACAACTTTTAGAGGCAAATCTGACTTGTGCTGCTTGAGACACCTTCTGATCCTCTGTGTCAGTGCCAGCACATTCCAGTAATGCTATTTCTTGTGTGTCATGGGTCCATTTTCTCACCAAAGACCCGTCCCAACCATTTGTTTGCCAATAAAGCAATTAACTACTTTCATTTTCCATCTGCTAACACATATAACATGCTACTCATCTGTTCACAAGCCTTTCTTTTCCAGAAAGGGCAATACAATCAGAAGGATGACTACCACTGCTCATGCTTCGCACCGCAGGCGGAACACATAAACCGCATCCAAAGCACAGCCAGGAAACACACAAAGACCCCACTGGGCAAGGCAACCCTGCACACACCGCTGTAAATTAAACTGTGTTTGCTTTCAGTAGTGGAGCCTTTAGACAGGAAGCTAAAGGGAAGGATCCCTAGCGTCTTATTGCTGATTGTCTATAAAACTGTCTTACAATGCACAA